TACACGACTCTACGTGTACATGACTCTCACTGAAAGCATTCTACCCCTACTACAACCAAAATCTTCCCATCCGCACTAGGCTAATTTTTCTGTCTTCTGTGGCAAGTCAGCTCTTAAAATTAACAGCTACCCCTACACCTCAGAGTAGTTATGGACACCAGTAGTTATGAAACTACTATTGGGGCAATATTTCTACATTTATCATGGTGTATTTTTTCTTATGTTAGCCTGTGTCCAACTTAATATTGTTGGATTTGTCTAAACAAAAGTTCGTAGTCCCACTGTAATGTAAATGGGTGCTTATGCATGTGCTCCTTCATGTTCTAATTAGAATTTGTTAGAGCAGACTCAATGAATCGAGCCTGCTCCATGTCTAATTAGAGCGTTCCAGTGTCACTGTAGAGTTGTGTGTATTAAGCCCCTGCATGCTTCAAAATGGCCTTGGGGTGCATTAATTAAACCTCGTCAGACAAGGTTTAGATAAAGCATCCTGTGGCCATTTTTAAATGCACAGGAACTCAATATGTGTGACACTGTGGCATTTTAATTAGAGCGGCTGACCAGGAACTGCTCTAATTAAAACGCCGCCCCTCTCCCACCTCCAAGCACATGTATAGGCAGCCAATATTTCTGACCTTTAATGATGTGAAATTCCAACATAAGTAACTAAATACATAGTACTGATGCAGACTCCTACATACTTCTGATTTTCTATGACCATTGTGGATACTGCAAGATAATTTATTTTAAAAAATTCTGGTTTTCAAGATACTATTTGCTTTGTTCATAGGCTTCTGGTATTCTCCTAGTCACTGAACCTTTTCTAACACTATATAACTAATAAAAATGTGATTTCAGGCAGTTTTTCATTCAGTAAGTCTCACATGATTTGATTGATCTTAAATTTTTAAAATCCCCATATCTGTAAAATGAAGTATATAATATTGGATTACTTTATCCAGTTTGTAGGATGTTGATATTAATTAATATTATTTAAATTTGTATTTGTACAATCCTTTAAACATATTAAGCTCTAAAAAGTTCTGTCAAAAAAACCGCATGCATATGGCATCCAAAAATGTTGATAGCAGAATAAGTAGTGTGAGAGTGGTGTTCTAGTCATGATAGTCCAGAAATTATGCAATAAACAAGGATTTCTCAGGGTGATTTCTTTTATTGGACCAACTGTGTAGCTGGGATAAGGTTTTGAAACAAGACATTCTTCTTCAGGTCTGACCAAAATAAGCCAAGCACATCTAATAGCAGAATAAGAAATATGAAGAACTGCTGGGGGTGGGGGAAGATGAGATAATGGCCAATAAAAGGCCAGTCCTCTTTAGAGGTAAATTTTGCCAGAACCTCAATACCAAATTGTTACATCCAAAATTTTGGTCCATCTCAAATAGAAGGCTATCAACCATGCAAAAATAATTCTTATAAATAGTCATATAAATAGTTATCAAAAAGAATTCTTATAACCACTCCTGATGACAAGATTTCTGCTTGCTTCAATAGAAGAAGTATTTTCTCCCCTTTATTTATTCATAATTGGAACATAATTATTAGTTGTGTGGTTTTCCAAAACATTTGCTACATGTAGAGTGACTATCAATGCAAGATACTTTATAAACATAATTGGAAACATGGCCCCTGTTACAACGTCTAAAAGTTTAATGCTAATTTTTTGGTATGGGAAAACCCTGAAAACATTGCTACAAATTGAAAATGCTCAAACAATGGGTATTTGGGATGGTTTCACATGATTTTACATGCAGCCTTTCCCAAACATTTTATTTTAAGAATTTGCTGAATATTATCATGGCTTTTAGGCACCTAACCTAGAAATTTATGGGTCAACACAGCAAAGTTAGCCAATAGTCACACTAAAGGAAGTACAATAGTCAAAAGGAAGTCAGAGTTCTCCGAGCTTTTGACCATGATCATCTTATGAACTTTAACATTTTGCTCTACTTTGTGATAATTATTTACAATAAACCTCAGAAGTCCATTCAGAGTGCTAAATCAAGTTGCAATTGCCATACATTGTCATCTAAGACACCAACACCATGAGGTTACTCCTCTGCTTTTAAGAGAAGAATGAAAACTGAAAGGTAGTTCACCAATTAAATAAGCCTGTTGTCAATATTTTGCTTTCGTGTTATTAAAATAGAGTGAGTTCCCCACTTCTACAAGGGTTAAAAAGAGCAGTAATGGAAAAGGTAATCAAGTGAAAATATTAGCTAACTGCTTGCAGTATTTATGAGCCCCACCACGCTGCATGAAAAAGATATCATGCATTTAATTTATTAGTTATAAAGTCATTTGCCTAGGTTAAAAATTGATCATCTTGCAAAACAAACCACTTTTCAACACTAATTAAATTTACCAAACATGGCCAGAGACTAAGTTGATATATTATATTAAAAGTTAGCATGATGGA